ACATAATTTAATATAAATATGATAATGCTACAAGAATAAATAAAATATTCGAGGAGTTGTCGGTTGTGTAGCACTGTAGCTTGCGTGCTGTGTAAAAATAAGCAAGCAAAACAAGGAAAAAGCTGATGCCAATTTTGTAAGTTCTTGAATGAGGAATAACATTTTTGTCATTTCTCGATTCTCAAATGAAATTTCAGAAATTATTATTGTTACATCACCAAAATTTCATCTTGATTGGACATGAATCTCGATGCAAATATGAGTCAGATGTTTCCAAAATTAAAATTGGGATCATCCAAACTTTGAATTATGTAAGCTTATAGTCAAGTTAATATCTCGACGGGACGAATCCAACGACAACAAAATCGGCCCAATTTCTGGCACAAATGGGCCCAAATCAAGGGTGCCAAACATACTTGGAAGGTTTAATGCATTAATTGGACGACGAAATGATCATCGAATATGACATGCTTATAGTCAAATATAGCTGCCAAACGAGACGAACGAGCCCAATATCTCTTAATTCATTAAGGCACATAAATGCTTCATAAACTCTCTATGATCAGGGGAATCATTATCAATAGTTCAATGGAACACTCCCATCATGTCATTGATCTTTTTCATATTTGCAAGTCATGTCACTCCTAAAAATTATAAATAAACTCTTATTCTTCACATAAAGAAGGGGGAGAACAAAGATGAAAATTTGAGAGCTCTCTTTCCACCGACAACCGTCAGATTTCATCCGGACCATCGATCGTCATCGAACTTCCGCCAGTTCGTTGGTTGCCACCGGAATTCTTCACGACCACCGACCTTCACCGTATTTCATCCCGTTTGTCAGCCATCACCGTATTTCTTCCCAACCTCTAATCATTAATTGCGAGACTTTCGCTCATTCGTTGGATGTTTTACATCAAATTTCTTCCGGACCATTGATCATCACCGGACATTCGCCTATTCGTTGGTCGCCACCAGATTTCTTCCTAACCATCGACCTTCATTAGACTTCTGCCTGCTCGTTGGCCATCACCATATTTCTTCTTTATCATCGGTCATTCGGTGGACATCGCTAGATCTCAAACCATCATCAAACCTTTGTAAACATCCTCCTAATTGTTGCTACCAAAATTCCAACATCAGTCATTAAATCGAGCTTAAGAATATCCATTCGAAGTTTGGCTAGATCTTCAATATATTGTCCTCGAGATGATGGACCGACCAACTTTTGTAATCCATCCAAACAATAGTGGACGGGCCCCATGGTTTTCCCTTTTCAAGATTTTTCACGTAAAAATTCTAGTATATCTATGTCATCTTAATTGCCTGTTTGTGTATTGAAATTTCGTATATCATTAAGATGTTAAACATTTTGACTTTGTCGCTACAAATTTCTCAGCCCGCAACAATTATACTCTTGAAAAATGCTCCATAGCTGAACAATCTTAAAGATATATTATTCAAACATACCAATAACCTCAATTTTTTTAAACTTAGGCTTTGTTTGTGACAACTTTCTTGCTGTTTCTAAAATAACTTTCTAGAACTAAAAAGATTATTTAAGCTTCGTTTGCGACGGCTTTTTTATTGCTTCTTAAATCAGCTTTTAAAAAAAAAATTTAATTTTTATACTAAAAAGTCGTTTTAAGAAGCAGAAAAAAAGCCGTCCCAATAGAAACCTTAGAAAACAATAAAAAAACTGAATGAAGTGAAGCCTAAGATATGAATTGGTCAACATAAAAACAAGTATATAATTCCACCTGTATTTATTTCCCAAATCATAAAACAAATTGAGGGAGAATTACACATTTCGAAACTTATTCGCACTTGTGGAATATTTTCTGGTAGGGGAATCAAACATGCCACATATATGACAAATAATATCATATTCATACATGACAACATCTCGCAATCTTTCAATTTACATGAATCTTTCGTATATCATATTCTTTATTTCTATATATTTTTAAAGTACATAACTCTCGTAATTTATTATAAAACTTTGATAGAGCTAGAATAATACCCAATTTAATTTACATGCTAAGGGTTTATATAAAACCTTATAACCTCTATAAGCAATATAATGATTCTAATAAATCTATCTGAAATTATTCTTATTTTAAAGATATATAGTGTAGAATATTTCCCTTATTTTTTGACACATGGCAATATAATTGAAAGTTCTACAATTTTTTTTAGAAAAGAATCGATGAGTGGTGTTACAAATATTAATTTTTTCTCATAAGTTCTTATTAAGATGAAACATTTCGCAATCGATTAAAAATTAAAGGACGCACAAACCTTACAATGCGAGTAATTGTCCTAATCAAGAATTGATGAATATAAGAAAACTCAACATTGGAGAAACCATTAATATTTATTTAAGTAGAATGGAGCATAGCCACTAGAGTTTAGATCCTCCTCCTAAGAACTAGAGAAAGTTCTTATTTAAGTTGTTCTGTTTTTAAAAGAACTATCTAATATTAGATGATAAATTTGACTTGGTATGTCCCAAAATTCTCGAAATTAGAGAAATATGCTTCATGATTTATTAGCTTATGGGTAGAATGGACGATCTTTTGTATATGCAGAATGTTTTATTGAAGTCCATTGTAAGTTAATTTGGTACGAATTCAAACTTTGTATAAACTAGGTTTGAGACTTATTTCACAGTCGATGTCTATTTCATGCTACCGAGCGATATCAAAATTTCGTTAAGTCTTGGCTTCTTCTCACATACTACATTTTTTAGTCAATCCTGATCACAAGCCCTAAGTTTTGCCAGTCATGTCTACATGCCTCCAACATCGCTTGTCCCATTTGCTCTGGTCTGTGAGCCCATCTCCTAACACGATCTTAATTCCTTCTCTATCGAACTTTGTTGAATTAGGTTCGAGAATTCACTTTGAACATATTTGAATCAACTTCGAATTAAGGTTTAATTTTGATGTATTTTTTTATTGGTTTCAATAAGTTGTTCACGAAAACAAAAAAGAGCGTTTCTGAATAGAAAAGATAGATGCATTGGTTCGAAAAAGACATTTCAAATGAAATAATATGCTTATCTCTCAAATCTTGAACATTATTGATACATCCTTAAAAAATTATCTTGATCGTGTACGAACCTCGAGGCAAAACCAAGTTGGAAACATCCAAAATTAAAATTGGGACCATCTTAACTCCAATTTCAGTAAACTTA